TCACAGTCTGGAGGCAGCTGGCGTCTGTCGGTAACGCGGTTCTCCGACCCAGTAGCTTTCCGCGCTATCGGCTGTCCCGCGGTCACGGCACTCACGAGCGGCCAGCCTTGTGTGCTGCTCCGTGCTCCAGATCGGCAGAGGGCAGCCTTTCCTGGGCGACAGTCACCTATTATCGGAAGGACGTTTTTCGTAAGTTCATTGAGGCGCACGTGGTGGTCAATATCCCCCAAACACGCCACAAATATGGTCAAATAAAATACCATCGCATGGCGCAGGTAGCATTGACTGACATTTTCCTCGGCGGTTTTTTACATCAGCCCAGTCTGAAGCCGAGGTCATACCGCGCACAGCATTGATAAGCGAAGAGACTCAGCATTTTCGGCGAACAGTGCACGCATTATACTGAAAACACGAGTTCTGTATCGTTCCTCCAGCCTTTTTTGGAACATGCGCCGCGCGACTCCAAAAGAAGTGAATGAATGACATGAATCATGGCAGCGACTTCGTCCGCCAAACACGAGCATGAAATAATAAAAAGGTTTGTAGGTATAGATATGGAGTATGATAACGGAGCCACAAAGGAAGAAACAGCGCTACATTGTCCGATATGCATTCCGGTGGCATTTTCGCCATTACATCCAAAACGGGGAAAATTCGTATCTACTAGATTATGACGGATTTCCCTGCATGACAAACCGCGATAACTAGTTGAATGATCGTCTTCGGCCACTGAAGTGACAGTAAAACTCGGTCGATGCGAATATAGGCACATGCTCTACGGTCCATATCTATGCTGCCCTTGAGAACGGCTTTCAGAACAGAGGCGGACGCGGCAACTCTTTGCATAATGTATATTGATTTATTGTCAGCCAATGACACCACTATGAAACTTGTCAATCAATTCAAAAACAACAACGAACGGTATATGATGAGTACAACTTGGAAGATTGCATACAAAGCTGATACAAAGTAATGAGCGCCGCCAAGACAAAAAAGGAAAAGCATATATCGATAAGCGATATGATCAAGCCACAAAAGATAAATGGAAAAGTCGTCAATATACCGCTCAAAAGATTTAAGAGCATTTTTTCGTAAAGAAGCCAGATAGATCTCCATTGCGTGAGTAAGAGTAGTTAGCTACTGCGCGGAGTTGGCCCGGTGGCAAAGGTGGCGGTGTTTCCGACAGCGGACCGAGACAGACCAAAGGTGCGTGGCGAACAAGGGATCAGCATGCCCAGTGGGCTTTAGGTAGTGCCCGGCAGTGGATAGTGGGTCGGCTGTGTGGACAGCGGATAGGTGGACAAGTGGACGAGCGGTGGACGCTGGTCGGTGGACGGATCGTGGAAGGCGCGTGGGACAATGGACAGAGGGCAATGAACAGTGAGCAGTGGACGGTAGGTAGAAAGTGAATAGTGAGCTGTCTGAAAGCGTCCCAGAGCAGTGAGCAGCCCACACACGCACACCATCCACCTCCATTGTCCCTGCACCTCGGCCGCACATCGCTCACCCCTGGGGAGCGGCTCCGAGCAGCTCCCCTCCCTCCCAGGCGCACAGGGAGCCGGACAGAGGCCGGCAGTGACTCCCCCGTCCGCCCGCGACACGGCGTCCCCGTATTAGCCGCATTGTCGCCAGATGAGGCGATAGCCGGGCTACACGGCAGCGATACATCACCAGTGCCGACCCAGTTCGGTACCGGCGAGAAAGGAGCTCAGAACGACGGCAGAGAGCCCCAGAGGCCAAGGTGAAGGAGAAATACGCTGGCATGGATCACCAGCGTCGCTTTCCTATCAGAATAACAAAATGTCGATAAAGGGATATGGTTGTAGCGAACATGCTTGAAAAGATTGCAAGTAAAACTGGTTTGTGATCTGGATGCGATTTATATCAACAATAATAGCCGAATCCCGAAGCTCGAGGCTTGCACAAGAGCTTCACATGCCTCAAAGTATGGTAAGTCCGCTGAACTATTTACTTTTGTTTGGTTAGAAAGAGCCTAAGCTCAACAAGAATGAGAAAGAACGTATGAACATGCAATCATGCATGCATCTTCTATAGTCCTAACCCATAACCATAAATGTCAACCTAACCGGGTGAGGGCACTTTTGGCTCGTTGGCCATGGGAAAAGGACTAACAAAATTAAGACACCACATGCACATTGCACAGTGTACTTCTTGCATTTCTAACGTTCAAATACATCAGCAGTAAGCACGGTAAACAGAGAGCACGTCGACCCAACCCGCAGTACCAGCACCACCTGGCATCCGATTTTCGGCTAACACCCCGCTCCTCCCCGGGCTTCTGCCCCAGAAGCCCTACACCAGCCTACACATTGTTCGCATTAGAGAACACGGCCTTCCGGCAGCAGCAAGGAAAACCGTGCGGGCTGGGTGCAGAACAAAGGCACGGGAGTAGCATCGCCCCTGTTATCTGCAGACCATCTCCCCGAGCAGCAGCACTAGATCCAGCGCGAGCCCCGCCCGCGCCGCCGGTTAATCAGCACGCGCTGCAGCGGCTCGGGATCCCGCAGCGCCGCTGACAAATTTCACCCGAAACGACGACAGAAATAGGCAGCTCGATCGACAGCCCCCACCTCTGGGATTGATAGAACCCGGCACCAATTGCATGCGAGCGTGCCATAAACTGGTGTCAATCTCCGCGGCTTAATTCATAAATCGCGGTGACAATGAATCGCCTTTTCTGGGTACGGACGAGGTCACTATAAAAATAGGACCAATTATCGACCTGGCATCGGCACTGAGTAGTCGGTGACAATCTGATTGTTACGTGGCGCCTATACAACCAGAAAACATAGAAATCGGCCGTAAATGGTTCAAAGACGCTGTTCGTACAAAATGATAGCGAGTTCCCTTATTTGAACAATAGCGGAAATTCATTCATCGCGAAAAACCATGCAATATGAATGGAGCGAAGCCACTTGCGGGTTCCGCACATTTTCATTTATTATTTAGTGATCTCCAGAGGCGCTGACTGGCTGCTTTTACGGCAGAATCAATGCATAAATCAGCCATAACAGGGGGTAGGTGCAGCAGTAATACCGGTTTTATTTAGTTTCACCAGGCACCGGCAACTTTACTCGCACGTTGCACAGTAACTGAATAGAGCTACTGAAATACAGGACGATCAGTTTCTGTTCAGTCGGTTACTGTGCGCTCATTTATCTGAACTTCAACTCAACTTTCAGTATACCTATGTTGACATGTAGAACACCGGTATAACCGCAAATCACCCATCCAAGCCAACCGCCCCACTTGTGACTCCGCCACCCATCAAAACCAAACCACCCCTCCTGAGAACTCGCAGACCACGAGTTCCTCTCGACACGTGCCAAGTGGTAACCCCGGCACCTGCCGTTACCCCGGGACAGCCGCCATGTCCGCTCCATGTCTCCCTAACGACGGCCGAGTGCCGCCTGGTGTGCAGCCTGGGCGGCGGAGCGTACGATGGGCTGGCGGTGGCACGTGCCAACAGAGATCGTACCTCCGAACGGGGGGAGACGGGGGAGGGGAGGGGAGTGATCCGGGGCGGCGGCGGCAGTAATTGAACTTCAGGAATATTGGTATTAGACATGCTACGCTGATGATAATGTCCAGTCCGTCAAGGGCTTATGCTAAAATGATTACAGTTGGGCAATGGCCTAAATAGTGCTGCAGCGCTCCGATGCGATTGTAGATAAAATACAGGGTGTCCAGAAAAAAGATACTACGGAAATTAAGTCGCATTCATTAACGCACGTGCCGATTTTGTTCCAAATTCATGTGCATATAGTGCAAGATTTGGCAAAACTCATGAGCACTGTAATGCGTCGTTGGAAAGTTGTCTGCTTGCCCTCCGAGATGGTCAACATGACCATCAGTCACCTGCAGACTGTGCTAGTGCTGGAGCTGATCCGCCGGAAGGCCGCTCACATTGAGAATCTGCTTTGAGGAGCTGCCGTGACTGACCAAAGAGTTTACATGCCATGTGGCACCTGCTGTCTGTTTTGCCATATTTTGGCGAATACAAGCATGCGCCATTTTAAAATGTAAGGTGTTTATTTTTGGAATTACAGCAAAAAATAATTGTATCCGTTTTTTCTGGACACCCTGTAGATATCGTTCAACTATAATGGCATAGCTGAATCAATTATCTTTCAAGAGCTTAGTGAATTGCAGCCCGTATTACCATCATGCAAAACAAGTCATGCCATCTCCTCAAAAGAATCTCATCTAGAGACTAACATTCGAATCATTTGTTGACCATCAACAAACCTCACAACAAAAACTCGCTCGCAGCATCAGCCATCTCGCTCTGCGCACCCCACCCCTGTCTCTCTCACCCACCTATACCCTTCCACCCCTGTCCGACACGACCCAATCTCCGCCCGCTGACCGGGCACTGACCGGGTCACGCATTGTCCTCATCCGTGTCGACACCCCTGTGACAACTGTGGCGCGGGCGGCGGTGGCGGCGCGGGGGTGACGAGTCCGGCGCTCTCCGTCCACGTGACCGCAGCTCGGCCGCGGCTGACCGGGCCGGGCCGTCCGTCCGCCCACGCCATTGTTCTCAGCACGGCATTTATCACCGTCCCATTGTCTTGGCTCGTGTCTTCTCACCGCCCGCCCGCCCGCCCGTCCGTCTGTCTGTCTGTGTGTCTGTGTCTGTGTGTCTGTGTCTGTGTGTCTGTGTCTGTGTGTCTGTGTGTCTGTCCGTCTGTCTGTCTGTCTGTCTGTCTGTCTGTCTGTCTGTCTGTCTGTGTGTCTCTCTGTCTGTGTGTCTATCTGTGACTGCCTGTCAGCTGAGTGGTGCTACTCAGCGCCCCAGTTAAATGGAGTGAGGGGGAGGAAGCGGGGGCGGCCGGAGAGGACAAGGGAAGAACACATCAGGGGTTGGATGTAGTCCACAGGGGCAGTCTAGTACAGGCCCATCCTCCTTGTTTACACACAAGGGAGGCACTACTAGGCACAAAGAGCGTCCCGACACCTTACAGTGCCGCACTCACCTGGTTTTGGATGTCGGCGATCTTGGCCCAGGAGAACTCGAACTCGTTCAGCGGCACCTTGGCGTGCTTGAGGAAGCGCAGGAAGCCGAGCTCCTCGGGTCGCAGGATGAGCAGAGCGTGGCCCCGGCCGCCCATCCCGCGCGCCGTCCGACCCACACGGTGGATGTACTCCTGTGGGGGAGAAACGGACGGGGAACGGGACGTTATTAACTGTGAAGTCGAAAGATGTCAGCATAGGAGAGCAATAGAAGGTTACTTGCACGTATACTTCGAACAGATGTCAGTAACAATTGCAATAGAAAATATAAAAGAATACAAATCAAGCCGTTTCTATGAGAAATAATGGATTGCTTAAACTTGAAACTGGACTCAAACGAGGGGATTGGGCGGCTTAGAGTGCAACATTGTATGCACCTGGGTCATGACCTAGCGGGTCAACAGTGTCGTACGTCCTTCTAAGATCTCTATCGTCATCAAAGAATGGAGTCATCAATGCGTCACCAACCACTCAACCCAGGGATGAGTAAGGCAGGATAATAAGCCAGCAATCAAACGGACAGTTTCGACAGTGACTTATTGATAAGTGAATGCTAGAAAAGCCACAGATAAGGATAATCTGCGGTCATTCTGGTCTCCACAAACAGCGATTACGCAGTAAATTACGGGTCGCAGACGGCGACGCGTTAGCGGCGGTATGTTTTGTGTGGGTACTTAGTTAAGATTTCAGTAAAAATGAGTTAAAAGGCAATAATTTATGAATATGATCTGAAGTAAAACACGAAAGCAATCTATAACATGCTATATTAGATACGCTAATAAAAAATATTCCGAGCAAAACAATCAAGCAACTCACTATTGTTCAGATCATTAATCATGATTCGGTAGCGTTGCTTGATTTATTTCCATACACAAAGTGCGGTGGTTAGTTCACATGTCACCTATCGAATATGAATAAGATACACTCGGGACCAAGCTCGAAACGCTGGCGCTTTCAAAACGGAATCATTTTTGTCAGCTCCTGACAGCTGGAAGCAGCAGCATTACACCCCAATTATCGTGCAAAGGTTTTCACCACCATAAAGTACACTGAGCACAATGCATGCAGCTTTCAATCAAAGGTCCTGGGCATGGGCGGCATCCCATTTGATTTATAACCGACATTAAGGTAAAACCATAGCTAATTGTTATGCAGGGAGGGTATCGAACGCCTAATTATGTTCGATGTAAGAAACGCTACCAGATCGCTTAGCTCGATGACCGCTGGCATTACCTGAGGTAGAAACTGATAAATGTCACATATTCGCGCCTACAATCGAGCTGCAGTTATGGTAATGATAACATCGTACTTAACAACACATTTACATTTCGCAACACCAACCAGAACTAGCGGAACCAGTGTAGCAAATAGCCAGCAATTGATTGAGAAAGGCAGCTAAATGCCCATTTGACTCGGGAACGAATCCAATCAGCAGATAAGATCTGCAGTACTATTTGGAGCAGCCGCCACGAGGCAAGATGTCCAAAACGAACTATTGAAGAGAGCCACAAGTCAGCGGGTTATCTTACACCATTAATCACGAACGATCGAAGAATACCAAAAATATAAAAATGAAGACCTAAAAAATCATCGCGCCTGCGCTTGCCCAATAATTGGTCCCCGATCCAAATCAATATCGGTCGCGGGTGAGTTATAGGGCAAAAAGCTGGTAAATTGGTGGGGCGAGGAGCGTGCCCGTGATATAATTAATGGCGACAGCTGTCCATTGTTCGGGCGCAGTGTGACCGGACCTGTCAGCGGCGGCGCCTGCCCACACACAGAGGAACTGGTCCACCCAGCTCGTCCACCGGACCTGTCACCTGTCCACACACCGGGAGACCCGTCCACCCCACCGCTCAGTTCTGTCCACATACAGAGGAACTGGTCCACTCCTAGCCGTCCACCGGACCTGTCAGCGGCGGCGCCTGTCCACATACAGATGGGGACCCGTCCACCCGTCCCACGCGTCCACCGGACCTGTCAGCGGCGGCGCCTGTCCACACACCGGGAGACTAGTGCCCTCCACCAGTCCACCTATTCTGTCCACCGATCAGACCACCACGCCTCACGTTCAGTTCATCTCTAACACACGGCCCCTGCATGTCACCTCGACACTCCTACATAAGTCCCAGCAGCAGCACGACCTACTTCCCACGGCTAAAACACCGTTCGTCATACTGCACCAATGCAGCCCACTATTTCATTCCCCATGTCCCCACCCGCCGTCATGTCCCTGTTCACACCGCCCCTGATACGTCACACCTTGTGTTATCTACCGCCTGAGCATCTCAAACCCAGAGCCCCATACCGGCTCGAACCCCGAGTCAAGACGAACGGCACACAACATGACACCGGCGCCGCCGCGGCCTGCATAGCGATCGGCAAAGCCTGATCGATGCACACATGTCTCCAGCGGCAACCACGACATCGGGAACACCCGTGGGCCCCGAGCCGGTCGATCGGCATCGACCAAAAACAGAGCAGCGAAGGTTAACCCGTCACCGCCGGCAGGAACTGCAGACGGCGAGGTTAGCTTCTCACGGCCGGGCGTGTTCAGAGGGGTTATGGGGTCCCACAGTCCGCTAAAAGCCTCCGACTGTCTTAGGCTGACAGGGCAACAAGACGGCCGGCCTCACAGCAATGCGGGAACATTCGCGACTCGGACAGGCCTTGTCTGTACCAGGGACCGCCCTGCTCGGGCGGGGGCGGCGGCGGGGGCGGGTATCGGGCCCGTATCTGGGCCAGCCAGGGCGCGGGGCCTGTCCCTCCATACTGGGAGGGTACCGTGCAACCCTGTGTTGCACCAGCCCCGGACAGACGCCCAAAACGTAATGTTGGCCCCATGACACAGGTAAGAGCAGTCCACAGAGATCGGCTGCACGGTATGGGACATGACATGGGGTTGTCACGGCCTCTCAACTGGCTTCAAGTACCCGCTGATACATGGAAATCATTACAATTTGTAACGCTCAGCCAATAACCACATTGATGTGTCCCAGTTGTAGCATTCATTTTTCATTTGGAAATTGAGTTAAGGCGCATTTTCAGCATAGAGCAACACGAGCCATCTCATCCCTTTCCTGACATATGTAGTAACAGTCTGACAGTAGAAACCTCTCCGCCCCGGGAAATCAATCAGCCAGTCCCCACACGGGCACACGGCGCCGGAGACTCCCAGTCCCTATGCAGATCACACGCCAGTCCCGCAGCGTCCCACCAGGGGCTGTACCGAGGCCAACAAAGATTAATGACACTAATCGGCCAATAATGACCGGCTCAATTATCGTCCGGGCTGTCATGAGTGGTCAGAACTCGGGCTGACATGCTCATCTGCAGCACGGCATTGCCGTGTCATCGATGTAACCTGTCGTCGATGTCAGGTATATAAAATAGATTCATCGGTGTCAGCATGCCGTGTCATTGGTGTCAGCACTTCACTCGAAATCTGGTCACTGGTGTACGAAGTTCCTCTAGGACCAAACCAAAACCAACCATGAAACGGACGGAGCGACGGACAGAAAGGCGTGCCATTGACCTTGGGGTCACCAGGCGGGTCGAATTGGACTTGAGGTCATCTAGCGCGAGTCCATTGACCTTGGCGTCATCTGGTAGCGCTGACCTTCGGCTAATGTCACTGACCTTGGGGTCATCAGGCGGGTCGAACTGACCTTTGGGTCACCTGATGTCACTGACCTTGGGGTCATCAGGCGGGTCGAACTGGACGATCCAGTCGACGGCCGGGATGTCCAGCCCTCGGGCGGCCACGTCGGTACACAGCAGGATCCCGCTGTCGGCGTTACAGAACTGGAAGAACGTCGTCGTCCGCTTCGACTGCTTTTGCTTGCCCTGTTGGAGAGAGAGAGATGGGGAGGGGAGAGAGAGTTGATGTGATTAGTGACCGATCACCGGGTTCCACTGTTTTATTTATCGGTGGTTTTTTAGTGGGGAGCCTTTCAGAATGTGGATCGGATGGTGACGGCCATGGTGATTTGTTTACATTTCACGAGTCGGGAGGGTTGGCGAGGTGAAAAACGACGCGTGTGATTGATGCCTAGAGAATGTCATCACAGACTGATGTGATGGATGTGCAATTAGAGTCCAGCAGATGCAAAATCATCACGTAGCAGCATTTCATAAAAATATGACATTCTGGTTCCGTCAGCTAGCGATTAATTGCCAATCAAATCAAGAGCAGGGCCATTACCAAACTGTCTTAGAAAAAAAAAACTGGGAGCATTAGCTGAAGTCTGAAGAGCCTGTGGTGCAAGTGACACA